CTTCACCCCCACTTATAACATTGACGGTTCTTTTAGGCGAGGGTGGTTTCGGAGGCTCCTGTCTGTTCTACATATATGCTTGTTTACCTTTTTCACTGAATAACTCAGTGAGATACCCCTATTTTAGCAAGTGATCAACTTCTCCTTGCAAAAATCTGCAATCTGCTGTTTTATGCTTGTGGTCGTTGTGAAATTCACACCAATGATCAGGGTTTCGTCTGTTTGGATTTGATCTCATCTCCTTTGGAAATCGTACCTTATCTCCCATGCTTCTTAAAACAGCTACGAGTTCAGAAGTGCTTACATTAAAACTTGTAACCCCCGACCTTGCTTTTACGACTTCCATCATCGTCTCGTGACCCCACATGTATTCCGATCATTTCCGAACCTTGATTGAGGAGCCTGATTCCCTATTTCTAGGTTTGTGATCGTACCTTTGATTAATCTTGCCTTGACCGTGAGTCCTTTCCCGCAGGTCCCATGTAAGGCTCGTACCTGTTTTTACCGGGTCTCTTTTCATTTTTCCACATGCCTTGAGCTTACTTTTTCTTCTATTTTAATGTCGTAAAATAATGTCTTCTTCAATCCTCATCTTTGTACTGTAATCTGTTGTAGACCATCATTCCACGTTGTTACTGGTAATTCTCGGAAGGCTTTCCTTGAGTTGCCTCGTGGCTTCTGAACTCTTCTCGTTCAAGATTGCTGGGTGAAGGTTATGGCTGCCCAATTGTTCAGGTACTCGTGGCAATGTCATTCTTTCCCGTTGAAATCTATCCACGAATTCTCTGAGCAGCTCTGAATCTCCTTGCTTGATTTTGAAGATGTTCCTCCTATTCTTTTTCAATTTTTTGAGCTCCTGATGTGCTTTGATAAATAAATCTGCAAGCTCAGCAAAAGAATTTATAGAATTCAGGTAAGAGAGAATATCATGTTAGTGCCCCTTTAGTGAGTGTTTCACCGAATTTTTTGACCAAAACTGATTCAATCTCCTGCTTATTCAAATCATTGCCCTTGACTCTTGTTGTAAATGCAGTAATGAATCTCGTGAGTCGTTGTCCTATCATACTTTGGAAATATCGGGCATCTTGAACTTCTTTAAAATTGGGAGAGGGGCGGCACTTGGCTTCCATGGCTGTTGAGAAATATTTATCTATATCTACCCCCTTGATCACGGGTGGTACCCAGGTATTTGTTTTATGCGGTCCGTTTTGCTCCTGCCTAAGCTGTTTCTGCAATGTTAGTACTAGATTTTGCAAATCAGAAATTAATTGGATTGCCTGGGTCTCCCTCCTGTGTTTTCACCTGGGGTTCCACCGCTGCCTGAATTAACCCAGTCCAGAACGAGGGTTCTCCAAAGTATTGTTATTTGGAGTAGATGTGGGTGGAGCAGCAGGTAATTGACTAACAAAAGCTTGTAAGCTTGTTGACGCTGAGTAAGCGATAAGTTTTTGTAAGGCATCATCCATAAGCTTTCAGCATTTCAAATTGACCCGATTTCTGTGTGAGATCTTTCAGGAGTGCCTTCACGAGATTGTCGTGGTGAGTCTCGTGGTGTTTGATCATTTTGCGGATCTCCTTGATTTTGCTGATTGATTGGGTTTTCCCTTGGATATTGTCATTGTTGTTCGACATAGTGGATTCCAACAAAGAAAATCAAGCTGAGAATATACTTTATTATCAGATTCCGGTAGGCGGAACCAATTTGTTTAACCAAAAAATAATTTTTAGTCAAAGCTAGAATTTAGAAGAATACGGGTACTGATAATCAGAAAGGTAGTAAAAAAAGAAATTTGTGAATAATATGATCAGAAAGCAAGTAAATCAAAGTATATTCCATAGTGTTTTCTTGTCCCCACAATTTGTTTGTTCCTTCCCCTTTATAGCTATTTTGGGGATACGGGCCCTTACTTTGTTATAATATAGTCTATTATGAGCACATTAATGATTTAAATGTTACGTTAATGCAATCATATACGTTAAATACATATTCTCTAAACGTTTCCAGTATTTATACTCATTAAATGCTGTATCTGGGCTCTTTTTTGCTGTTAGATTCATTCCTTTTGATTCTTCACGATCTTTGACCCTTTAAATGTCTTGAATAGGTACGGAGCGTTGAATTACTTGTATGACTTGCTCGCGTCTCCTCCATTTAAATTGTTCGTATCTGTTGTTGCTCGTATCTGTTAACCAACCTTAATTCTTTGACTGTTTGACTAGTCTACGTGTCATGACATGTCACCATATACATATAATACAATTTCCCCAATACAATGTGGGTCGTCAAGGACCCGTTAAAGCTTCTTATCTCTCAATGGTGATGGGCCGTTCGCCTCGGCGGGGTTTATGTACTATATTCTAATGGAATCGGGTCGTTCACCTCGGCAAGATTTATGTACCACACTCTCATAGGCGCGGGCCGTTCGCCTCGGCAGTTTAATAGATGTATCTATGATTCGTGTCGTTCGACCCTCGACAATACACAGATTATGATGGGATCGGGTCGTATGCCTAGGCATTTCCATAAAATTATCCTCATGAATTCGTGCGTAATATATGGCCATAAGCTAGTGTATCTGTGAGTTTTTCCTGGTTTGAAGTATAATGACCCATTATGATGAGGTCCACTATATATATACATATACATGCTCTGTGTGAGGAGGAATTGCTAATTGAGAGCTTGAGCCTATTGTAAAGAGGGGAATCGTACCACGTATTATTAATTATCTATTTTATTTATTTGCTCTGCCTCATATTTGTTCACCTCTTTACTGTGCCTGATGTTATTGGACCTCTAATGCGTGTCGATGTCGACCCCTCATCACTACTCCTCCGGGGTTAGGCTAGATACTTACTGGGTACACGTTGATTTACGTACTCATACTACACTTGCTGCACAATTTTGTGCAGGTAAATATATGTCTGGTGATCTTTTGGGCGCAGAGGCGCGGCTATTGCGGGACTTTCCGTGAGCTGCATTTCATGTTACGATCCGCAGCCTGCAGGGTCTCCATCAGAATTATTTGTATTCTCCTGTCTAATTTGTATCTCAGATAGATGTTGTATTTTATTTTATTTCCTAATTGATGCTCATGCACTTGTGACACTAGGTTTTGGGGTGCTTATGGGTTGTCCTTTATTGTAGTTGTGAAAACATTATCACTAACCCTGTAAAATTTATTTCTTACTATTTAATTGATGAAAATTATGATTTCAAAAATAATAAAATGAGTAATTAAGTTAAACATTCAATGTTGGCTTGCCTGACGGCGACGTTAGGCGCCATCACGACCTCTAGTGGATTTTGAGTCGTGACAAAAATATTTTCTAATTTTTTCATGTTGGATTTACTTAAATGTTTTGAAAATATTTCTCATGAACTCATTTCCCTTAAATTGGAGAAAAATAATTTCCCTACCAAAATTAGGAAAAATATTTTCCAAAACTCTTTTTCAACCTTCTCCACCCTATTTCTCACCCACCCCACCCCACCCCCACCAACCCCATCCTACCCCTGCTCCAACCCCCTCTCCCCAAACCACCACTCACCCATTCCCACCCCCAATCTCGCACTCCACCCTCTACCCTAATCTCGCACTCCAACCCCCCCTCTCCATCTCTAACCTTGTACCCTCCCCCTTAACCTCCATCCCATGTATTTACCTAAATTATATATTTCTTAAAATCATATTTTATACTCACTAGCCACCACCATCAACAACCCAGTAAAGTCCCATAGGTGAGGCGTGTGGGGAGGGTAGTGTGTACGCAGACCTTGCCGACTATCCCGATGGAGTAGAGAGGTTATTTTCGATAGACCCTCGGCTCAAGAAAACGCAAAAAGAAAAGAGATAATATATCAATACCATCAACAAAAACCATAGAAATAATAACAGCATCATAAGAACCAGAAAATAGATGAAACGTAATAACAATAACCAATAAATAAGGCCCGATACTATGAAAAAACGGAAAAATAGTGTGAACACAATATGGCAGTCTAAGACAAACCCTATCAAACTAGCCTCATACCCGGTACGAAGTAGAAAAATGCTCAACTACCTCCTAACTTACAACTCTAATGCTCGACCTCCACACCTTCCTATTAAGGGCCATGTCCTTGGAAATCTGAAGCCACGTCATGTCAGGCCTGATCACTTTTCCCTAATACTTCTTAGGCTGCCCTCTACCTCTTCCTCGTACCTGCCAAAGCCAACCGCTCACACCTTTTTACCGGGCCATCATGACTTCTCCTTCGCACATGCCTGAACAATTTGAGCCTTGCTTCCCGCATCTTGTCATCTATAAGAGCCACGACCACCTTCTGCCGAATAACTTCACTACTAATCTTATCCATCCTAGTGTGCCCTCACATTCATCTCAACATTCTCATTTTGCTACTTTCATCTTCTGTATATGTGAATTTTTAACCGGCCAACACTTTACCCCATACAACATGGCCAGTCTAACCACAGCTCAACTTACCTTTGAGTATTTGGTACCAACCAAATACTAAAAATATTTTTTGAAAAAAGTTTTTCACTCTTAATTAAATATGAAAAATAAGTGATAAAACTATTTATTTTTTTAGGAAAACATGAAAAAAAATTTCCTCCCCACCAGACACACCCTAAATAAAACAAGACAAGGAAAGTAATTGAGGAACCAAAAATATTTTCCCTTTCTTTTTTTGTTGTTGGTTCCTTAGTGGAGGGGTTAATGCAATTGCAACGAAAATGCAAAGAGTCCACCGAGTAAAACCCAAAGGAATCACAAAAGCGACTTTTTCGTCCTATTAAAAAAGACTCTAAAAGCGAAACATTCAATTAAGCACCCAAACTATCTCACAAACCACTGAAACACTGCCACGTACGTTCCATTGAGCTGGCAGCATCACCCGAGGGTGAAGTAAAACAATAGGGTCAGATCTGGAAATAGGAGATAAATTAAGGGGCCTTTAAGAGCAAAACTCGTGGTGCTATTTGAATCACATCCCATTTATGGTTCAAAAAATCCCCTCCTTTTTATAGTTTCTCTCTCCGTATACCCAAACCCTCTTTTTCTCTCTCTATATTTAGTCTCGCTTTGTTGGCGGCTGAAAAACTCTCTCTCTCTAACCCGTTGTCTCCGCTCTCTCTTCTAGGGTTTCTTTCTCTCTCCTCCCATAAACCCTTGCAAAATCTTCAGTGTTTCCCTACTCCTCCTCCTTTTGAGGGATCTATCTTTTTGTTATGGCTGCTGGTGCTCCTCCTGTTGATCGTATCCTTAGCTTCTATATTTACATATGGCGATTCAATATTTTTTCTGTTAAAATCGACCCAAGTTTTGATTTTTACTTGTTTGTGAACGTATGAGTAGATTTATGTATGCATAAAATTATGTTCTATGGGGTAGAATTTTTATCTGGGCCTTTATAGATCTGGATATCTGTTGCTGGTTTTAAGTGTAGGCTGTTTAGAGTTTTTTTTAACAATACAGGATTGTTTTTCTGCTGTTTTTTGATTTCGTATGCTTGGTTAATTCAGCTTATATATGTTGGGGAATTGGGTAGCTGATTTGGCGATTTATACGTTGATGTTTTTTTTTTATAAACAACAGCTGATATTTAGTTCGGTTTAAAATTCTGTGCTAATTTTAGTACAAATACAACAGCTATGCCTCAGTCTCAGCTATATGAATCCTCACCTAACCTACTATGTTATTCCCTATAAACTCGTCTCAGGCCAATATTAAAAAATAAAATTAATAATGAAAAAAAAAATATCTAAGTGTTTTAATAAATTTTGTTGTTTACAATTTTAGTAAATTTTGTTGTTTACTTGATTTAAATGACCTATTTGTTGATTCCAAATTTGATATTAGTGGAAGTTTGTCTTGGCTTTAGTTGTTAATGAACTCGTTTGATAAATTCTGTGGAGAAGTGTTATTCCTTTACGATTTACTGCTATAGAAGCTGCAGGCTTGCTGCAGAATTTGTCATTGGATTCTCAGAATAAGAATCTTGAAATTGCAGAGCCAAAAAAGAAGGTGATTTTCCTTTTAGTTTTATTTTTTCTAAATGCTTTGTTTCAGTCAATTGGTCTACAGTTCTTAATCTGAAATTTTGTTCCCTTTTCAGCCTTCTGTTGACTCAAAAAACGTGGGAAATGGACAGAACCAGCCTATGAATCGGTCTGTGACCCCTGTGTTGCCGGAATTCATAGATCCAAATTTTTGCTATCTTCCTAATGGTTATCCCTCTACTGCAGCATACTATTATGGTACTCCCTCTTATCCAATATATGTGACCTACTTTTTTAGTTCGTTTAGAAAAAGAATGACTACCTCCTAAATATGGAAACAATTTAACCTAAAACAACTTCACAGATGTTATGGCATATTTAGGATTCACAAGTTTCAAAAGTGCTACAACCTCCACACAAACATTATGGCATGTTTAAGACCACAAGTTTCGAAAGTCTTTGTTTCTTTCTTTTACTTTGTAACCATGCAAATGGTATGGCATCTTATTACCACACGTAACGTGTTTCATGGTAACATTTTTTTTGTTCTGCTCTAGGATATGATGCTTCTGGTAATGAGTGGGAGGACTATTCAAGATATTTGAATCTGGATGGGGTTGAGATGCCCGTAAGTTATTCTGCTTGAATTCTTGCTACAACATTTAATGTGTTAATCTGTTTGCTGTATTAATTTTTGTGTCATGGAAATTCTTTGTTGCTGTCTGTAGTTGCTTTTTAGCTTGAGCAAATATTGGTCTATGTTTGTGGATTTGAAATGAGTTAAAATGCACAGGGAGTTTATGGGGACAACGGGTCGCTTATCTATCATCATGGCTATGGTTATGCACCCTACAGTCCATATTCACCTGCTACTTCCCCTGCCCCAACTTTGGGGCATGATGGCCAGCTCTATGGATCACAGCAATACCACTATCCGTATTTCCAGCCCCTCCCTCCAACCAGTAATTCATACTCTACTCCAGTTGCCCTGCCAAAAGGTGAGATCGCCACCTCTGCTGCTGCTGCTGCTGACCAAGCATCAATGTCTGTTGATTCTGCTAATGGAAATTCTAATGGCATTGCCAATGGTGGTGTAAAGGGAAATGCTGGGCCTACGCCTGTGAGGCCTGCGTTCCAGAACCCATCCGTAAATGCTAATGGTTCTTATGGGCGGGGTGCCTTGCCTGGAGGAGCTGCTTCAGGTTATCAGGACCCTAGATTAGGTTTTGATGGTGTGCGATCTCCCATTCCATGGATAGATGGATCAATGTTCACTGACGGGCAAGCTAGGCCGGTGTCGAGCAATTCTTTTACACCATCTTTTTCAAATGGCAGTGCTGTTCCATCATCAAAAAATCAGAATGTTCATCCGCATCTAATGGTAAGTTGTTTGAGAACGTGAATCTGTTTTTTGTCTTCCACATTTACTCTCTTTGTTAGAGAGACTTTAGAGTAGCTACTCCAGTAATTGGAGCCAAGCTGCTGTGTAAGGGTTCTCTGCATATATTTTCTGGTCTCATTTTTTTTGTTGACACCAACTCTCTAATGTTTCATTCTCAGGGCTTCCACCACCCAAGGCCCTCGTCTGGCATGAACACAACAAATGGGTATATGAATAGGATGTACCCCAATAAGCTGTATGGGGGGCGTTATGGTAACACATTCGGTACTGGCATGGGCTTTGGATCCAATGGATATGATACTCGCACTACAGGTCGTGGGTGGATGACGGTTGACAACAGGTTCAAACCCAGGGGTAGAGGAAATAGTTTCTATGGTTACAGCAACGAGAACATGGATGGTTTAAATGAGCTCAACAGGGGACCTAGAGGTAAAGGTTCCAAGAATCAAAAGGGTTTTACACCAGTCGCCCTGGCAGTCAAGGGCCAGAACATTCCGCTCACTGTAACCAATGATGCCGAGAAAGATAAATCGAGCCTGATTCCTGACAGAGAACAATACAACTGTCCGGATTTTCCAGTGGCATATACTGATGCCAAGTTTTTTATAATCAAGTCTTACAGTGAGGATGATGTGCACAAAAGCATTAAATATAATGTTTGGGCTAGCACACCAAATGGTAACAAGAAGCTTGATTCTGCTTACCAGGAGGCTCAACAAAAGTCTGGAGGTTGCCCAGTTTTTCTTTTCTTCTCGGTGAGCTTTCTTAAGATGCATTATTCTCTAGTCTTTTTTGATTTCGAGTCACATTCTCCTTGTTTTGATTGCTTAATTTTGGTCTTCTTGTCCAGGTAAATACAAGTGGTCAGTTTGTTGGTGTTGCAGAGATGGTAGGACCAGTTGATTTCAACAAGAGTGTGGAGTATTGGCAGCAAGACAAATGGATCGGCTGTTTTCCTGTCAAGTGGCACATTGTGAAGGATGTACCAAACAGCTTGTTGAAACACATCACGCTGGAGAACAACGAGAACAAGCCTGTTACCAACAGTAGAGATACGCAGGAGGTAAGCCCCATGTTTTAATAATTATGAGCATGATAGAAGGGTAGTGATTTTTGCGCGATCCCTTGTAATCTGTCCTGGCTCGTTTGACCTTCGTATAATTGTCAGTTACTGTCTTTACCAACTGTTTCACCTATTCCAAAAGAAGAGGGTTTTTACAACAGTCTCATTGTTTTGTACAGGTTAAAATGGAGCAGGGCCTACATGTGATTAAGATATTTAAGGATCATATTAGCAAACAGTGCATCCTTGATGATTTTGAGTTCTATGAGGATCGTCAGAAGAGAATCCAGGAAAAGAAGGCCAAGCAGCAGCTATTCCAGAAGCAGGTAGCGTATAATGTACTAAATTTCTGTCTATTAAATGAAATTTAAAAAAAAAAGAGGAACAAGATGAGGTGCTTTCACTACTGTATTTAGCAGTAGTCAATGTCTTCACCATAATAATCTTCGATTTGGTAGTTAATTATGGTTGTTTTCTTTGGTTGTCTCAGTCGCAGGCATGGGAAGGCAAAGCTACTGAAGAGAAGAAAGAAAATGCAAAGTTGGAACTTAAGTCCCAGAAACCTTCAGAAGTTCCCGCTGGTTTGAACAAGGAAAGTTTACCCGCTGCTCCAACTAATGGGGAGGTCAAGCTTACAGAAAATGGATCAGTTACAAAGGGAGATGATGTGAAGGGTGCTAAACCATTCACTGTAGCAGAAAAGAAACCTGTAGCTAAAGGGATAGCAAATGGAGTTGCTAATGGATGCTAGCTTCACCTAATGAAGGGGGAGGTCTGTGGTTGAAGCGGCCCTAAATTGGAGCTTGTTGACTACATGATTTGCACGCGAGTGCTTGGTTAGATCTCATAACCATTGGACTGCCCCGTTTGTCCTAGCTGCATTTGGAGTTGGTTCTTGCATTAAGAAATCCCCGGAGATAAATCAATGGCAAGGCTAGTTCAATCTGTTTCTGAGTTCAGGAAGTATGGAAGCTCAATTTTTCCTCAGGTTTTAGCTTCTGACAGGTTTCATACCTAAGGGGTTTGGGTTTTAGGATAATTTTTTTTTTAAATTTTGTTTTCGTCTTGTGGCTTATTTTGGTCAATTTTCCCTGTTTTTAAAAAGTTATTTGGGTTTTAAAGGGTGGGGTTCTTGTTATTATTAGTTTGGCTCCCAATCCTGTCTTGTAAATCTAGATCAATCTGTTGCGGCAGTTCAGCATTGCTTTTTTGTACTAATGAAAGAGCTAGAAGCGAGGTTGGGAATGCATTGCAATATAGTTAATTCAAGAAGCATTTGGCAGCGATTTTTCCAAATTTTATGTTTTTTTTGCGACAATTTGGTATTTCATGTTTAGTGTAATTCAGAGCGACTCAGTCGTTGCTGTTGCTCTCATTTAAATTCGCATTGTCCAATTATCAGCCGTGGATAGTTGTCTTTCTTCCTTAAAATCGAAGTAATATCTGGACATAAGAAATAAATGAAAAGGTCCAAATTTTATTTGTATTACCGTGATTGCTCAACTTCTTTCCTCATTGTAGAGTTAATTCATACTCTTGCATTAGTTTTTGTATTTGCACTTGTTTCGTTTCAATAGGAAAAAGGTGAACTTTACGAGTCAAATTTCAAAATTAAATTTTTTTCAGGTTGGAGCTTTATTAGAAGTCGAAGGTAAATATGATAACGATGGATTAAGTTATTCATGTTCCTTCGTAAATTTGGACAAAATTGGGGACGAAAGGATGCATTGATTAGTTTCAGCACCTAGGGGCTAGGATACCAGACTCTAGACCATTTTTCAGGTCCCATTTTATCACGTTACTACTACTTGAAACTTTAATCCCTTCGACAATGAATTCTTGAAATATTTATAAATATAATGAATTATGCATAATTATTTGGGTTAAGACATCAAGTAGGCTTAAACTAATCTTTTTAATGTGCTTCAAGTCCAAAGCTCCGTCGAAAATCGTTTAGTTCACAGATTAACTATATAGGAATTGTTAATGCGATGAATATTATAATGCGTAATACAATAACTGTTATGTAAAGAGTGTCCAGTTTAAGGTATTCTTTTGTTTTTTTAGATAATCTTAGTTGTTCGAAAATACGACACTATTGACAAAGAAAAGGAGAACAAAACCAATTTATCGAATACAATATTGTGTCGTGATAAGCTACTGTTTTGACTAGGGTGCAAATCGCTGAGATCGAGTGGCTGCACGTTTGGAGTTTATAAAAATATAATTGCCCAGAAAATAATTCAGAGGAACAAGAAAAATAACAAGAGAAAAAGAGGATTGATTTTTTTGCGTTTGTATCTATATATATATAAGGCCGATTAATTCTCATAAACAGCCAACAGTGACAATTCTGGAATTAAGGCACATTTAATCTCAAGGGAGGGGGGGGGGGGGGGGGGATATATTCTCGTAAGTATGAATTTGAATAATTTTCTGATAGGCTGAAAAATATTAAAAATAATTTTATAAAATTAGATTTGGATTAAGCCTCACGTGTATCTCGCGTGCATGGTAGGAAAATCCATAAGTTTTGCCTTCGGACCTATTTCTAACGTTCACGAGCCACTCTCTCTTACAAGCTCTTTTCAAGCCCAATATAAGACACTCATTACAAGGGGGCATTTGCAGCTAGCCAATTTTGAGATCACCATTGAAGTTATATCCACTTTGCACAAAAAATATAAGTCTACCTATTTTTGGATCAACTTCAAACTTCGAGTCTGAAGTTGAGGAAAAAACAAATTTAGTTTAAGTGCAATGCACTTTAGGCCAATTAAGTCTAAGGTAGAAAAAATTGCACTTACGATGCACTTAAGGCCAAATAGGTTTAAAGTACAACCAATGTTTTCATGCACTTAAGGCCAAATGGACCTGAAGTGCAAATTGCCTAAAAACAGAAAGTTGTTATTCAAATAATAATCCAACACATAATTCAACACCTAAATCTACTCCAAATGAGCTCAAATTTGAAATATAACCTCCAAGTGTTATAAATAACAAACCCCAATCATCAATTTTTTAGATAACAACAAATCTAACAAACCTATTTTGCAATTAAGAAGGATAAGAATAAGAAAAAACCCTAAGCAGTAGTGGAGAAAGGAGCACCATTGTAACGATCTGACGTCGTTTTGTGTATTTTAGCTCAGTTCCGCTATTTGATGCTCCCCGTATGTGTATTTAGTGCTATATGACTTGCGAGGATGGTTGGTTTGGTCTCAGGAAGGTTTTGGAGTGAAGTGGAACACATAGTTCCATGATTTGAGGCTTAAATTGTAAGAGTTGACCAAGTTTTAACTCGTATGTAAACGACCCCGGAATGGTGTTTTGATTGTTCCAATAGGTTCGTATGATGATTTTGGACCTAGGTGTATGTCCAGATTTGGATTTGGAAGTTCCTAGGTTCATTTGGTTCTATTTGGCAAAATTTGGCAATTTGAAAGGTCTATAAGTTTGTTCGGGAGTTATATTTATTGATATTGGGTTCGTGTTACTTTTCCAGGTGTTGGAATAGGCTCGTTATGTTGTTTTGTGACTTGTGCGCAAAATTTGAGGTCATTACAAGTTGATTAGACGTGGATCGACATGAATTTTGGAAAGTTGGAAGTTGATTAGTTCCTTAGGCTTGAATCGAGGTAAAATTTGTGATTTTGATATTATTTTGTGTGATTGAAGGCCTTGAGTAGGTCCGTGTTGTATTTTGGCACTGGTTGGTATGCTTGAACGGTGTCTCAAGTGTGTTTCAGATGAGTTTCAGATTATTTTCATGTTATTTGGCAGTCTCAATCTGGTGTTATCGCACCTGTTAGGTTTTTGCCGCGGTACGAGTCCGTAGAAGCGGGCCGCAGAAGTGAAATTAGGCTGGATGAGGCATGAACCGCAGATGCGACTCTTGGAGCCCAGATACACTATTGCAGGTGCGGAGTTACTTTCGCAGAAGCAGATGCACATTTGCGATGAGAAGTCTGTAGAAGCGGATGGGCGGGATTTAAGTGGCTCCCGCATCTGCGATGGGTTTTTCGCAGCTGCGGTACTGGGATATTGGTCCGCAAATACAGAGACTTCTGGGCAGAATACTTATTTTGAGGGTTTGGTTATTTTTCATTATTTAAATTTTTGGAGCTCGGTTAGAGGCGGTTTTTGAAGAGTTTTTCACTAGTAATTAAAGTTTATGTAATCTCTATTTGGTTTTGATATTAGATATTGTTTCCTCGTGGATTATCACACCTAGATTATGTAATTTAAAGGAGAATTTTTGGGGGTATTTCTATGGTTTGGGAGAGAGAATTTGTGATTTGGGGATCGATTTGAGGTCGGATTTGGATGAAACACATATATTTGGACTCGTATGAAATAGGTGTTTGAAATTATGAATTTTGTTGGATTTCAGGTACGAGCCCGAGGTTAACTCTTTGATTGACTTTGTGTATTTGTATCTAGATCAAAGCTTTATTATTTGGGGTTGTTTCCAATAGTCTTGTTTAACGTTATTAAGTTGACGTGAGGCTTGACTCGCAAGCTATCCCCAAGAGAGGAAGTTTCTAGTATCTTGGATCAGTTATCCAAGGGAATGGGGAGATTGACGAGGATATCACAAACCGCATTGGGGCGGGATAGATTAAATGGAGGTTAGCATCCGGCATATTGTGTGAGAAGAATGTGCCACCAAAGCTAAAAGGTAAGTTCTACAAAGCGGTGGTTAGACCGAGTATGCTGTATGGGGTTGAGTGTTGGCCAATCAAGAATCTTCATGTCCAGAAGATAAACATAGCTGAAATAAGGATGTTGAGATAGATGTGCGGGCACACTAGGTTGGATAAGGTTAGGAATGAGGATATTCGAGCGAAGGTGGGCGTGGCCTCCGTGGAGGAAAAGATGTGAGAAGCTAGGCTTAGATGGTTCGGGCATGAGGAAAGGAGAAGCCTAGATGCCCCAGTTAAGAGGTGTGAACGGTTGACTTTGACGGGTACGAGAAGAGGTAGAAGGAGGACTAAAAAATATTATGGAGAGGTGATTAGGCAAGACATGACGTGACTTCAGCTCATCGAGGATATGGCCCTTAATAGGAGGGTGTAGAGGTCGAGAATTAGGGTAGAAGGGTAGCAAGTAGTCGGGTATTTTACTGATCCTACCAGGTTGTTTAGGCTAGTCTAGTAGTATCTTGTCGTTGTTCCTAGATTGCTAATATTACGGCTATTTCTTACTATCTTCCGCTTCAGTTTTCTAGTATTTTGTCGTGGTTACTACTTGGTGCTATTACTAGTACTATTGCTTTTCTCCATCTATTTTTTTTCTATTTCTTACATTGTTGTTATCATTTTTTTTGGATATTGTTGCTATTATTTGATTGTTTCTATCCATCCTCTCGAATCGAGGTTCTTTCAGAAATAGCGTTTTCACCTCCCCAGGATAGGGGTAAGGTTTATACACCCTACCCAACCCAGACCTCACTTGTGGGATTTCACTGGGCTTGTTGTTGTTGAGTTATTTTTGGCTAGATTCGAACCGTTCGAAGGTCGATTCGCGCGGGAAGGGATTTCTAGAGTATTGATTTTGCCTGCTTGAGGTAAGTATCTTATCTAAACTTGGTTGAGGTACTAGTTTCCTGAGTTATTAGTGTTGGCTACGTGCTATAGGTGACACACATATAAGGGGTTGAGCCCATGTGCTTCGGGGTTTTATCCATGCTCGGAATAGTGATTAGGCTATAATATACCTTGAGTTGATTGCTAAGCTTCATGCTATCATGTTTTTTATGTTGTTCCCCCTATGTGAGCTAATTGAATCATATTAGATGTTATTTATTGGTTGATATCCTGTTCAAACATGTTAATTTTTATTTTCGTGTCGTAATCGCCTAATTTGAGCTATGGTGGTACACTTCGCACATACCTACACCTTAACATATCACTTATATCAGTCCACGAGTATGTAATTTGATATCCATTGTTCATGTACATGTATTCTTATATGCTTTCTGTGTGATATGGACTGGGTTAATAGCACGTGAGTGGTTCGTGCGGATCTGAGTTATGATAGCACGTGAGTGAACTGTACTGTTGTTATATATGGCACGTGAGTTCCATGTGCAACATATGGATAAAGATCCATCCCCATAGGGTCACCCTCTCATGTTTCTCTCTTGATGGTATACACGTGATATCAGGAAAACTGATCAGTATTTGGTTATTGCATTTTTTCTCTACTTGTAATTTCCTTGGATGTATACAACATATTTTATTCGTATATCTTATCTTTATGCTAGATCTTGAATTTATACATACATCGTTGTG